CTTCCGCGCCTATCGAAGCTGGGTCAGGTAGAGCTTTACGGGGGGGTTTAGGGTTTAGGGTTTGGGGTTTAGGGTTCAGGGTTTAGGGTTTATAGAAATTGTTTAGGGTTCATGTCCTGAGTTTCGTGCGGGTTTTGCGCGGATTTTGTGCGAGTTTTGCGTTTTGCTTTCGCTACATTTTGCGTGCGTTTCAATCAATTTGTTCAGCCAATCTTGTCCGGGTGCTCCCTAAGTTTCAATAAATTTGTTCAGCCAATAGGCCCAAAAGCTTTTTTTCGGGTGCTCTGACGCGCCGCGGACACACATTTGTTTCTGGAATTTTCGTTTTTGTGCTTCTGTTCTGTCCGTCGAACAGTAACAACAATCCCATGATGCAGGATTCTAAACAATTTCTATTTATCCTGGGCTTGAGGGTTTAGGGTTTGGGGTTTAGGGTTTAGGGTTTGGGGTTTGGGGTTACGGGTTTAGGGGAATACGAATGAGCGAGTAACTATGAATATTTTTTGTGTTGATGATAAACAGGTCATTCGATCACGTGAATGTGAGGCCGTGCTCTGCCTCCTCGATGCAGCCTATGAGTTGGGTCGGAAACTCAGGGATTTTGAGACTGGGGAGGGGAGGAGGGGTTGTCGCATCAGAGCAAGTTTTCTGAAACATCTGAGCGTTGAAGGTGACGAGCGGCCCATTCCTCATGCAGCATTGGCGGATGTGCTGCGAGTGTCCCAGATGTTTCAAGTCCGTCAACTCGAAGAGAAAGCAGTGCGCGTCTCAGCTGTTCTGTTGCTTCTATTGCCCGCAAACGATGGTCGATCCATTCAAAGCCCATCTCTACTTCTAGCTTCGAGAGCATGGGTCTCTAGAATGTGAAAGTGTGCTGGTATCTTTTGTCGAGTTGGACGCCGGGCGCGGACGCTCCAATCTGAATCTCACCATCCGGTATCCCAAAACTTAAATCCCAAATCCCCCCAAAAAAGAGCCCCCTGAGGTGAAGTCGTTGGCAATGGAGATCACAAGTGAGAATTTCCTTGAGCGCCTCGACCTCTGCGTGGAATTCAACTTGATTTTCCTCTACGAGCGGATCCTGCGCCATCTGCACAAGCAGGGGAAGCTCCTGGAGGTGTGCAGGTGCGAGGAGATCGTCTGCTTCTGGGCACTCTTACATGTAGATTCCGCGATATGACTTGGCTTCATTAGTCTGATGGAACGATCACCGAAGACATCCTGACTAAGATTCGGAATCAAGGGTAAGGGGTGGATGCGTGTCTTTGAAACATGTCGGGAAGAACAGTTCCGAAGACGAGGCTACCCGCGGCTGATGCAGCACATGGTTCTGTACCTCTCCACGCACGACTTGAAGTGACCGCCCCACTGCTGCCGGTAGTACGATGCAGCTAATCCCTGGAGCCAGACGGCTGGCGAGTAGAGTCTTGCAAATCGAAGGTAAAAGTAAACATGTGGACTATAACAACGACGTGGAATTGTAGCAACAACGTGTAGTAGGGGTTTTGTCTACATGCAGCAGCCCATCACCGAGGGAGTGTGATGCGGTGTTGCGATGTGAATGCCAGCTTCGGGAGGGCCAGGTTTGGTCCTGCAGCCTCTGTGGCTTTGCGATCGTTCCCCAGCAAAAGTGGTAGCACAATATCTCAAGAATGCACTCTCTCACACACATATATATACATATATATATATATATATATCTGTATATATACATACATACATACATACATACATACATACATACATACATACATACATACATAATATAATGAGCCCCAAAACCCTATTCTAATTATTGAGGCCCCTTTTTTATGTGGACAGTCCTACGTCCAATGGGTGCTAGTGACTGATAGGTGCCGCTAGTGAGTGTATAGCGCACTCCGGCAGATTTTGTTGAATGCGATGTCTAGATTGGGGCCCCTTCTTCTGGATGCGACAGACAAGGCATCAAACTGAGAATGCCGCCAGACCCTGCACCCTAAACCCTAAAGCCCACCCGGCTCCCTAAACCCTAAAGCCTAAACTTAAGGCCCGAATAGAACCCTTATGGAACCTTTGTGGAACCCCACAATAGCAGAGGAGCCAGATAAGTCCATGTTCCAGACTGTCTGGGAGCTGGTGCCTCTTCTTGACTTCAGGGTTTGGTGTTGCGGGCATAGGACCCTAAGCGCGAAGCCCGGAGCCTTAACCCCTAAGCCCCAAACCCTAAACCCTAAACCCTGATGTAGGGGCCCGAATAATTATAATATTTCGGCTGTTCCTGACTATAGTTATAGTATAATGGGACCCAAAACCCGACTCTAATTATTAAGGCCCCTATATCAAGCCCTTAACCCGACCCCCTTCGCCCAAACCCCCAAAGCCAATGCTGCTGTCGGAAGGTGCAAGGTCGTGAGGCTTCGGGGTTCGGGCTTCTAGGGTTTGGGTTTAGGGTTTAGGGTTTAGGGTTCAGGCTTCTAGGGTTTAGGGTTTAGGGTTTAGGGTTAGGGTTTAGGGCTTAGGGTTTGGGGGTTTGGGGTTTAGGGTTCAGGCTTCTGGGGTTTAGGGCTTAGGGTTTGGGGGTTTAGGGATTTAGGGCTTAGGGTTTGGGGGTTTAGGGGTTTGGGGTTTAGGTTATAGCCCAATGAGCTGAAAGGGCTTCGGGTTTCGGGCTTAGGGTGGGGGTTTTGAAGATTTTTGGGTTAAGGGTTGGGTGTTTAGAGGGCAGGGGTGAGGGTTTAGGGTTTGGGGTGAAAGGGGTTATAAGGCTTTTGTAGTGTTCTAACGGTTTAGGGTTTAGGGTTTAGGGTAGCTTTCAGAGCATTTAAGGTTTTTCAGGGTTTGGGGTTTGGAGGGATTCTGAAGTTTGTCGGGTTTCGGGTGCGTTTGGGAGAGAGAGGGCAGAACGAAGCCAAGGTTCAAGCCGGAAATATGTTTAGGGTTTAGGGTTGGTGTGCAGTGCCGATGCTGATGAAGTTAAGCATTCTCCATGACTGGGTTGAGCTCAAGGTGTTAGGCCCAACGTCTACGGCCAAACCTGCCGAGCTGGGGGTTGGAGACGGGGGTATGTTTACAAGAGATCCTCTACCACGACATACAAATACCCCTAGCAGCAGTGATCTACCAGCAGAAGCAATACAAGCAGAGGTACAGAGACAGTTGGGAAGCTTTCTTACAAGATTGCAGTATGTGGAAGGGGAAAAGCTAAACTTCATGAGCAGAGTTCTGGGTGGGCGCTTGGAGTATAGATTTTTCACAGGTTTGGGGTTCAGGATTTAGGCTTTATGTCTGCATTGGCTTAGCTCAAACCCTAAACCCTCTAAGCCCTAAACCTTATAAACCCTGAACCCTAAAGCCTATAAGCCCTGAACCCTAAACCACCCCAAAATCTACATCCCGCTTTTGTGATCTCTGTGGCTGCTCGCAGTGTTCAGAGCAACCAAGTTCCGGACATACTTCCCAGCACATCCAGGCACTTGATAGGGTCTCTGGGTGTGCTTAACAGGTTTAGGGTTTAGGGTTTAACACTTCCGTTTTTAAATAGAACACTCTTCACAATACAGAAGCCAGAATACCCAGAGATAATGTCCCATGTGGTCCCTGTATACCAACTATGCCACAATATACCCAACACCCGAGTCCGCTCGAGTCGAAGCTCCGCGGCGGGCTTGCGAACAGTGCCAACACACTAAACTGAGGTTTAGGGTTTAGGGTTTAGGGTTCAGGGTTTAGGGCTTAGGGTTTAGGGTTTAGGCCCGGATCCTTAACATACGGACCCCGAAACGGGGTACCCCCTCATGTGAAGAAGCCCCCCAAACGCCAATGCCCAAGAAGGCCTGAACCCCAAAGCCCAACACCCACCTAAAGCCTTCTAGAACGCTGAAAAGAACCCTAAACCCTGAACCCTAAACCCTAAAGGAACCGCTTCGTTGGCTCAGGCATTCCCCAAGGAGATCGATTGGGATGATGAACTGCACCGCAATCGAGGCCTTCTCTAGAAATGCGTACTTGCAGGTTTTCGGGTTTAGGGTTTAGGGCGTACTTGCAGGTTGTCGGGTTTCAGAGGTTTGAGGTCGTTACTACGGTTGATGATATAACTCCTGCATTACCCATAACAAGGAATCTACCATAATTCCCATAGTTTAGGGTCCTTAAAGTAATGCAGGATTTCTATCATCAACAGCAGTAGGGTTTAGACTTTGGGTTCAAGTTTAGGGCTTCGAGTTTGAAGTTTGGGGTGCGCCTTCAACCCCGTTTGGTTCCTGCTTCGGGTGAGGATTTCAGTTTTAGGAGTTGGGGCTCCTTGCAGGGTTTAGGGTTTAGGGT